GTAGGTAGGTAGGTAGGTAGAGGGATCAAAGGTAGAGAGACAGAGATAGAGAGATAGACAGACAAGCACGCAGGATAGCAGGCAGGCGGGCATTCAGGCAGACAGACTGACAGACAGTTAAATAGACAGGGAGGGGTAGATGAATGGATGGATGGGTGGAAAGGTAATCGGGTAATCAAACAGGTAAACAAGGCTTATCGTCTGGGGGAGTCCGACAGTTCTGCCTATCTTGAGCAATGACATCGGTCAGTAGCTACTGAGTGAAGCTTTTAACCGTCCCAAGCAAGCCGAGTACAATCGCAACCCGCTGGCAACACTCAGCATAGAGAGCAAGCTCGTAATACTCAAATCAAGACCACGTACCCAATCAAGGCTGGCGAAATCATCCCTTGGAGAAGAACATGCAAGGCATTGAGAGGAGAATTTTTGCCAGGCAGCAACATGTTTCACTCTCTTTAGTTGCCCCTTGGACATCTCAGACGTAACCCCCAAGCAGGCCATTTCATTCTGGCTCAAATACGCGAGTGCCCAGCTGGATTCTTGCAGCTGTTTCCAGAGTCCGCTTCGCCTCTTGGTAATTAACTCAAGCCTGCTCTCCCTATCTCTCTCTCTCTCTCTCTCTTTCGCATCGGTTGCATGGTTCTGCCTGGACCTGCTGCTCAGTCTTCGAAGGTGCCGTGTCAGGGCACTACACGGTCCAGTTCTCAGGCCAAAGAAGCCCAAACGGCCAAACGTTCAGCAAAGCAAAAGACAAGGCAACCCCAGAAGCCTTGTAGGAGATTTCCACCTGAGAGCGATGCCGGGAAGTTCGGACGGCATGTGCTGCTGTGACTCTGCGGTATGATCTCAAGGCTTGGGCAAAGAGACTTGGAGGGAAGTTACTATACTAGTGCTTGAGCGAAGGTGTGATCTGGAAAGTCAACACGGCTCGCGAGACCCCTAGCAGCCCTAGCATCGTGCAGTCACATGCCGGGATTGTGTATCATCTTATTACAGTCTGGGACTTATGTACTTCAAATTCTACTCCACTTGTACCTGGCCTCCTCGGTCTCGGAATGTGTGACGGAGCCGTCGACGGGATGCTGGGTAGCGGCAAAGGCCGCCTATGGGACGATGGGGGCCAGATGTGCAATGGATCACGGCCGGCGATGTGCAGCGATGCAGTGGAGCCTGTGCGAGCTTCTCGGTCTTCGCCAAGCCTTCGTGCATCGCTGCTTCCAAAGCCTCTCCAGCAGTGCTTGGAAGACACATCGTTGCATGCAACCGATTGCAGCTTAGGCGTTCAGCAGCCTGGCACAGAGTTGATAGCATGGACGCAAGCTTGGAACTGCTATCTTCGGAGATGAGCTATTTTGCGGAAATCCTCTCCGAAAGTCGGACTTCGTGCTGCAAATTTGACTCGGGCGCTGGGACAGGGCTCAACACCATGGCTGCGTGGCACACACACACACACACACACTTACCAGGACTGAGCCCTCTCATCTTTGACCTGTACCTTGCGAAATTGTTTCCAACCAAGGCTGTGAAGACTCGGTGAAGCATCGAACGCCCTGCCTCGATGGACGATGCGATCTGGCGCCCCTTCTGTATCTGCTCCTGCAAGCACAACAGCGATCGACGCCTGTGATCGTAAATTCCTCTGTTGCGACATGCCATCTTCCCTAGCCCTACTGGCCTTATAGTCCACACTCAGGCTTCGTGAGACTGAAGCCCTCTCAAAAAGGTGCTCTGGACAACAGTCTCCCAGCGTTCCGCCAAACTGAATCCCCCCCCCCTTGTCACTTCCCCAGGCTCCTGCTCAAGTCGGCTCATTCGCCGTGAGAGGTGGGACTCTTCTAAGGCCTCACTGGCCTGAAAGAGGGGGCATTTTCAAGGATTTCAAGGCCACTTGACTCTGTTGGATCAGCTTTCCCTGCGCCGCGCTGCGCCTTGAAGCGCTGTGGTGAACCGACTTGCTCACTCAGCTCCTGCCAGGATTTCTGTTTGAACTAGTTGGCTGCAGGGGTCTCCGAGAAAAAAGGGAATCCTGTGGGTGGCATCAGGACGCCCGCTCGGACTGTTATGCATGTTCGATGGGCTCTTCGACGTTGATGCTCAGAGGCAATGCTCGGGGCTTCCTGAGAAACCCTTTTGTACAACAACACAGCCCGTTCGGTCTCCTCCTGCAAGGATTCGCATTTCGCAATGCGACTAACCAACTCATCCAACGTCTGCTGCGAATCGAGAACCTTGCGGCATGCTCGGAGAATGCCGGGGCCTTTGTGTTGGCTGTCTGCAGGAAAGCATCGTGCGCCCCGAGATTCTCTGTTGAGAAAATACACATATTCCTTGAAGCCCCTTTGGACCGAATAAATGTGAAAAAGCACATCCTGGTGTGAGCTATGCTAGCAAGGCTTCCTCAGGTGCTGTCAAGCGCGTTACATGCGCTACCTGTCACCACCCGGAAGCCACGGTACGACTCTTGCGCCCTTACTATTCGCGACCTCGGGAAGACCGCGCTGAGACCCAAGTGCCAGTCGCAACTCCTGGCCCGGGGCCACGGTGCTTCAGGAGACCCTCGCACCCAGTTTCTGGATCTTCGACTCTTGTCGAAACTATAGCTGCCATGCTTGCTTATTTGGCTCAGCGCGTGCCTGCGTGACCCCCTCACCTCCCCTCCCTGCCTCCTCGTTCTGCTCGCATTGCGCAAGGCGTGCTGCAAGTTCGGCCACCGCATTCTGGGACTCCTGGGAGGCCTCAGACTCTCCGAAGAAACGGCAGAGAGAGGCTGTGAAGTCTCTGAAGCACCCTATACCGCAGAGTAGGATATGACGGACCACTCCTTGGATGTAGGCTTCAATGAAGGACCCTCTGGCCTCTGGCCACGGAAGCTGAGGGTGTGTCTGCATCTGCCACTAGCCAAAAAGACTCCATATTGAACAAAAGCCTCCTAGGCAGGAAGTCCCAGTCACCAAGAACGCACATTGGCAAACTGACTTTTCACCGCAATTCAATGCAAGTCGCGTCGTGAGCAATCCGAGTCTGGTGCGACTATCGTACCAACCACGGAGATCCGGCACGCCAATTTCTCACACGCTGTTCGTGGCTTCCGGGCCGCTGTAAGGCTGGAAAAAGGCAACAGCCAAGCATCCTGCGCCAGCCAGTCGGGGCACCAGGATGTGGGATTGGCATTAGGACAGTATTGGCTGGAAACGAGCTTGCACGCACGGCACTTCGGCTCAGTACACCAGCTCGGGCTCCTTGGCGACAGTGGGCAAGATCCGCCGAGTGTTCAGTGGGACACCGGGAGACTCGGAAGGCACAGAGTCTATACACATTTTGCCCTTCAGACACGCTCATATATGCTTCGTCCGGAAAAGACGACAGTAGCTGGATTCAACTGATCCCGCCTGTTGCCTTCACGGCTACTCCAAAAAGTGCAGTCGTCAGATCTGAGCTTTTTGAGGCTAGGTGCCAATGGCTCACCTCTGGACAGTTTGTCCTTGGCATCGGCCCACTCGGAGTAGAGGCTGACTACCTGAAAGGGCGAACATCATCAGTTACCATCATCCATGCAGAAGGCACATAATAGCACCATGTCAGGGTTCCGCATGTGCCCTGCAAAAACACCAGGGCAGCAGAAGCAACAGCAACCCGTCAATGAACTTTCTTGGTGCCTGGATGATGCTCGCTAGCGCCATGCCCAGCACCTGGGCCACGTTGAGCAGCCAATGTCTCTTTGACTTTTCGGCGCCGGAGAGATCGAAAACCAATCAATCTCATTCGATGTCCAAGCAGGCCTCTAGCCCAAAGAAAAGCCTTTCCAACAATCCTCGATCCCCCGCTCTGACCGTGACTCTGACCTCGACCCCAGAAAATCGGCGCAGCTGACTCTAGCTACCAGCAACCCCACGGTCCCCAGGATTCATTGCAGGCTCCAGGCGCAATGGGGATAATCAGAAGCCACGGGATGCCGCCAAACCTCAGCTTTGGAGGTGTTGGAATCTCTCGGCTCTTCACCAGGCCAGTCTAGACTGTAGGAGCTCGGATCTGGGCCGCCAAGAAGCATTTGGTGTGAATGGGTCGGGATGGATGAAGGATTCGAGTGGGCTCGGTGTTGTCGTCCCACGGACACTCCCAGCATAGACAGCCTGGGTGGAGACATTCATTACGGCTCAGAGCAAGTACATCTGGGATTTTGGCCCTTGAACAAAGTTCCGGCAGGGCAAAGCCAGGCACGCTGACATCCAAGGAGCACTGAAAGAGCCATCGTCTGGTGGGGGCTGCGTTCGTGCTCCTCCTGCGAGCAACTGGGTAAGCCGGAGCTGTGTTGCGAGAACTGGAAGGCATGTCAGCAGTGCTCATCTGTGTCTAACCTGGCTGCGCATCCTCTGAGCTCGGTGCTCTGTCAACTAAGGTCGGGCCGTCGCGCAGCACGCAGCGATCTGCTGGTCTCATCACGAACAGAAAAGAAACCCCGCGTGCATCTAGTTGTTGCCCGGCTTTGTGGGCCAGCTCAGTCAGAAGCAGAAACATGCAGGAAAAGCAGAAAGTATGAAGTAGCCAAGAGCGACCTCCCACATTGCAAGAAACCTCCCTCACAACTGCGCTTCAGCACGGCGGAAAGCCCCCAGTCCGAAAGCCTTTCACCTCTGCAGCTTGCCATTACGCGAATCCGAAGAAGCGGGGCTAATGCTAGTAACAAGTACCTATGTGAACGCCTGTGTGAGTCCTTCTCCGCATCGAGCAGGTAGGAGGTGGTCTTCTGCCCTAGAGACAGCGGCGACTCGGAGAGCACCCAGCCCATGTGACCTTCACCGCAAGGGTGGCAAACGGGGCGGCTTCGTGTTGAGGCTCTGCATTGACAGGTGTGTGCAAACGGGGGATGGTTGCACACATCGGGCACCTCTGCTGTGCGCTGGCAAGGTGCAGAGGGGCCTACATCTACGAAGCTTCTGCTGACCTAGCGGATTCATCAGCCAGCGTGGCGAAGAACGCAAAAACCGGTTCTCATAAAAAGTTGCTAGGCAAGCTCAGCCACTTAGGGCAATGCCAAGCCATCGGGCCTCCACATCCTCGAACAGAACTCTTGAGACGGTTTCCCAGAAGCTGATGACCGGTTCAGTGGCTTGGCGTGGCATTTCGCGTTAGAATCGTATTCCTGGGGCTAGCTCCAGCGGATTGAGTTGGCCTTCGCACTGCATTACTTGCAGGACAATTCTGAAAGCGGAAGCCAAAGCTTTCAGTCCCGGTGGGTATACAGTTTCAGGACGGAGCAGCCTGTGATGGAGTGCTGTTGTAAATCATCGACTTCAATGCAAACCCGAAGATGCAAGAGTGCATGTGAAGGTCCTACCGATGTGGGCAACCTCACATCCGAACCCGTGTCCTCCACAGTTTCTGGCATCTCTACTGGCGAGGCCGCATGCGCCTCACGACAGCTACTTGTACTGGCATTGCTTTCCGCCACCACGAAACTCTGCAAGTCTGCCTGCTTACGAGCCACTGATTCAAACAGAGAAAGCTCTGCCAAGCCGTCAGCCACACACTCTACAGAAGGGAAGGCTGGACAGCAGACGAACCAATGCTTCAAACTCGCTGTGACATCTGGCAAACCGTTCCTCAAAGTCCCACTGTCACATGCGGTTCTGGCCTGGACGAGTTCCACCTTGGGAACGACCTCTGCGCGCGTGCCGGTCACAAGAGGCTCGCTGTCACTGGCCACCAGTCGGGCATCTGGAAGAATGGATATCCTGAGTATGGCAAGATGAAGAGAGAGTCTCTCGGTTGGCCCCTTCTGTTCTCACACTGTCGTCGTCATCATCAATGGTCAATGGTGGTGGTGGTGCAAATTGCTGCTGCTGCTGCTACTGCAGCAATTGAACCAAGCCACATGGAAGCAAGAGCCAGGTCCCTCCACATGGCATGTGCAGCAACACACTTCTTTAACCCGTCGGCAATGGAAAGTTCTCAACCTGAACCTACACTCCCTTCACTGACGATGCCAAGGAAAGGTTCATTACCCAAGCCGTTGTTCAAGAATAATGAAGACGAAGAAGCCGTCTCGAAACTCAACAGGCAGGGCATGTGTCGCCCCTGTCGCTACGGAAAGAAACGGCGACCTCTCTTTCCCAAACTCTGAATCAAAAAGCTTGCAGCACAGGAGCTCTGTGGCAGCGGTGAAGAGAGGCAGGAGAAGGGCGAGACGACGAGCCATCCTTGGACTTTGGGCTTGCGGGGGACAGCCACTCTTTTTCGCAGGCTTGTGATGTGCGAGACTGTCATCATGAAAACGAGAATTGCCGGAAAGGGGCGGAAAATCCTCCTCGGCGATTGGGACACGTATATACGCTTTCTGATGGCAGGGTGTGGCGCGAGAGCTACAGGAGCTATGTGGGTTTCCAACTCACGCCGCCTTGAACCACAGAAGCTTCGGCAACGGATGACAACGTCATCAGCCTTATGACTTCGTGCCAAGTCATGCACTTCCACCCTGGATCCATCAAGGCCCCGTGACAAGCGAGGTCAAGCAACGAGTTGCAATTGCTACCAAAGGCAGGAAGCAGTGGCCCATGCAACAAGGGTCAAACAGGGTCGGAAATCATGAACTCTGACTCTGACAAGCTCAGGCACGGACCTTCTCTACAGCATCGAGCGCTGCGAACTTCTCCATTGTCAGCGTCTCCTCTGCGACCGCCTGGGCTCACATCTAAACAGGAAGCCCAAGCTTCGGGACTCCGCACAATCATCATCGACCCCGCTACTATGAGAGCTGGCCACATCTGGGAGCTCTTCAGTGCCAAAGTTGCTGCGGCTTGGTGGAACTTTCCACGACTTAGGGCTAGGGGTTGAGGGCGCAGCCTGTGAATCGGACAAACACGAGAGGACACGAGACCCTTGATGGCAAGCGAAAATTAAACTGAACCAAAAGGTGAATGTTGCTGTGCACTCGGACAATCTCCGGAGGGGATTCACGCGCTAGGCGCGGTGCGCGCTCTGTCAAGGTCTTCATCTCGGCACCTGAAAGTCGTTCAGTCTGCTGATCAGCGCTGTTCCACTATCAGAAGTCATGGGCCGAGCACTTAAGAAGGGGGGCCCCGGCCAACAATTAAGCCGAAAGCCGTCGTCCGGGACAGTGCAAGGTTAGACTATGGCAGTTCACGTCCACAGATACTAACCACATATTTGGTCTCCATGTCAGATTTTGACAGGCAAGATAGGAAAGGCATCGATACTGGGCACCCGCACGCACAGCCTCTGCAGCATTTGCAAGCTCCTTGAGCTCTGAGCACTGATAGCTTGTTTGAGGGTTTGGCTTTCCCCTGCAGGCAACAGGTACTAGCAGACTAACAGACTGCGCATACAGTATGTTATGGTTCAGTCTGCAACTGCCCATCCCGCGGCAACATTGCGCCATTGACAACACTCAAAGGCTGGGACAACACTCTGTGGCTGCAGGTGGCAATAACACAAGGGCAGCTGAACTTAACTGATGAAGCCTTCATCCAGAAACACGCCCAGATCCCTCAGAGCGGCGAAGTCTCCGCAACAGCATGCAGGTACCCAACAACACGTATGAAGACATGTCGCCTTCGACAAAAAAGTCAAACCCTTCGACCGAAGGCACCGCAAGACATATGTGCTGGAAAAGGGTGTCAGTGCAAGATCGTTTCCTCGGGGACATTGAGCTTCCCCTTCCTTTCTGGCACCAGACCCACGATGCCAAAAGGATTTCTCTGATACATGCAGAATGAAGCAAACAAGCTGCCAGCCTCTGCAAAAATCCTGCTGCAAGCCCTGACTGACAGGTGCCCATTTCGGTCGACACGTTCCTATGTCGCACGGAAGGACTCCTCCTTGCCTTGAATTGCCACTTGCTCGAAGTGGAATCGAAGGACTTGCACAATCCGTCCGTCCGGTTGAATCCGCGCATGTGGCACTTGCAGTCTGTTTGAGTTTGTGGGGCCCCAAATATCAAGCAAGCCAATAATGGCCTGTTGATAAAACTTTGAAATCTTCGTTGAAGGCATCTCTGAAACGGGCCGTCAAGCTGCAATGCACTGAAAGTCCTGCTGACCCAGAGCCTTTTGAGCGGCCGCTCCAGCCTGGGCGCTACGCCGCGATGCGCTTAGTTTGGGGCTTTTAGGGGCGGGGGCCGAAGAGAACAGAAAGCCCGGACGTCTCTGTGTTGGCTATGCTCTGGCATGCCGAGAAAGAAGGCAAGCTGATCACACCACGGCGCGTCACAAACCGACACCGCATTGCCCTCGCAGATTCGTCTGGGACTGGGGCGGCAATCTTCTCAACGGACGCAAGCTCCTGTCTTTTGAGAACTCGCGCCGGTAGCTTTGACAACGAATATACAGAAACACGCCAACAAGTCTCAGTCAGCCCTGAAGTCTTGCTAGTGCTGCAAGTGCTGTTGCTTGCTGCGACTACACTAAGGAAACACAGAGCCCGCAACTCCGTGACGTATGCTACCATTGGCGATAAAGGGTCCCGAAAGCTGAGTGGCCGGTGCTAGCATTAAAGTTTCAGTGTTCAACCATCTTCAAAACTCTACAGCATATACTACATACCTGAGGCCGTGCATTCCAACCGAGCTTGCAGATGTGTTCATGGCCTTCAAATACCCTAAACCCCAAACCCCAAACTAAACCCTAAACCCGAAACCAGCTAAACCAGCTAAACCAGCTAAACCCTAAACCCTAACCCAGCTAAGCCCATTCCAAGGTACGAAGCAAAAAGGCGAGTCTCCCGTCTCATGGAGGCCGTCATGGTCGCCAGATCCTCCGGGCTCTGCTTTGTGGGGACACTATCAGGGGTTCAGGGTTTAGAGTTTAGGGTTTAGGGCTCGGTGTAGATAATCATCATTCGCAGTATCCTGATTATGACTAGTGACTATTCAGGCTCTTCTCATAAACCAGATTCACAATGCTGCAGCCCGCCGGGAGTTGAGAACCGCCATGATGCGTCATCTTGGAATCTTGGTCATCTTGGTCTGTTGGAGCGACCACTAGTGGTACAAGTGGCGTAAGTGGACAAACATAACGTCGATGACCAAACTTACCAAGATGATGCTCCCCCCAGACCCAGAAGTTCTCCCCTAGCAAGACGACCAAGACCAAGACGACCACCAGGAAACCCTAAACGCCAAACCGATGCGCGCACGCCGGGTGCGGGCCTAAACCCCGCCCTAAAACCTAATCCCCAAACACGATAACCCCTAATATTCTAGAAACCCTAAACCGAAGCGCGGGCGTCGGCCGCACCCCTAAACCCTAAACCGATGCACGCGCTTGGCGCGGATAACCCTAAACTCTGCAAACCCCTAAAAACCCTAAAACCCTAAACCCTAAAAGCCCCAAAACCCTAAAACCCTAAACCCTAAAACCGAAAACCCTAAAGCCCCAAACCCAAACCTGACAAATCCTAAACCGATGCGCGCGTAGTGGTGCAAGTGGTGAGGCCCAAAACCTCGTCATCCTGGTGGGGTGGAGGAGGCGGGGGGTCCATCTTGGTCATCCTGGTCATTTTGTCCACAAGTGGTGCAAGTGGTGCAAAGTGTTCAAAAGTGATCAAGATGGCCAAAAAATACCAAGATGACGCCCTCCCCCCAAAGATCCAAAAATTCTCCCCGAGCAAGATGACCAGGACGACCAAGATGACGCGTAAACTTGGCCCCCTTCATCGTTTACGCGCCGACCAAGACGACCAAGTTGAAATGTCATCTTGCCCTCTGCCAAGTACTCATTCTTCCGAGACCAAAACAGAATTAGCGGGCTTCAATTCCCGGCACAGTGTAATGCCATTACAATTATTACTATTCGTATTGCTACCATTATGATTAGAGAATCCCCATCTGGAGCGCAGCCCTCGATCCCATCACAGGAATGCCCGCGGAACTGGAAACGTCCTGACAGATAGGACCCTGAAGGTGAAACCGCCGAAAGAGGCAAGACGATTATATCTAACTGACCTGAAGCGAAGCATGGAAAGCTTCTGTTGAAACCGCCGACAACCGCTGCAGGCAGAGAGTGTGAGCTTGCGCCTGCTGCGTGGCCAGCTTTTCGTCCTTCAGCGTCTCATCCACGACCTTCCTCAACTCCTCAGGTGCCGAAGTACTCACGCAACCAATTTCTGTACTCATGGCAGTCATGTCTCGAGTCAAAGATGCGTCATCCCACTATGAAAGACACTGAACTCAACCCCAAAGCGAGGGCAGGCTCGGCAGGCTCAGGCTCGAGTCCTGCTTCAGAAGCTTGGCCAACTCCAGAAGCTCGTTTCGCGAGACCACGTCGGAGTTGGAAACGGCCTTCTGATGAGGCGAGCCCTTCTTGAGATTCAGCCAAACTCCAGCTTGGGGCACAGGCTTCCGAGACTTTCGACCAACAGCCCGGCAGTAGGATGAAGAAGCGAAAAGCATTCTAGAGCAGAGAATTGCAACCCTCGAACTCACCAAGGTCCTCAGAGAACTTGCGCTTCATTTCCTCCTGCTTCTGCTGCAGATCCTCCTGTTGGCGGTTTGTCTCTTCAAAAGTTCGGCTCGAAGGGCTCGGGGCAAACGGCTGTCCAAGAAACGCTTCGGCTTCGAGCTTGCTTCAGTTGCACTTGTCTCTGAGAGTTTGGGACTGCAAGCCGGCAGCCTCCACACTCTTCCGCCATTTGGACAGGCGCGTCTCGGTTTGCTCCGCACGGCGCACCTTCTCGCACAAGAATCATGGAAATCCAGGCTCCCTCCCTGCACCTTAGAGCTTCCGGACCCAAACCAACGAAACTGATGTGGGAACCGGAGATGCTCCTGTGGCCAAACCACAGCACGCAAGGGTGGTGCAAAAATCTTTTCCAGGTTTTACAAGAGCTGGTCAACACAGTGGCAAGACAGGCTCCATGGGAAACTGCTATAGTCTCCGTCGACTGTGCTGCTGGTGGCTCGTCACCTAGCTACCCCTTTTGGAGCACGGCTTCGGAAGGACGGGACTCCTCAATTCCGGGCCCTGACATCGCACCATGCTTGGGCATAGCAGGCTTAGCATCCATCGTCGCCGGAGGCAATAAAGGCTGACGCAACATGCATCGGTCTGAACCAACATAACTCATACAGAGCTATCACGTTAACGACTCATCTTTCTCACGCCGAGTCTCTCCATGTGTCCTAAACCTAAACCTAAATCCTAAACCCTAGATTCCCTGGATCCTAAACCGGCCCTAAACCCTATAAGCCCTAAGGACCCTAAGCCCTTAAGTGTCTCTTCCTTTCCACCCGGCCCGGCCCTGCTTTGCCCCCTCGTTGCACCTGCATCTCCAACGACTCTTGGAGGCCACGGAGGTTCCCACGGAGCCTTCGGCTGTGGCAGAGGACGACAGGAGGGACGGTACTACCAGTAGGGGTCAGAGTCTGTCTCCGTGTGTGTGTGGGTCATGATTGCATGGACACACGAATGCCTGCATGCGTGTCAGATATTTGTGAATACATTTTTTTCAAGGAGGAAGGTGCGAGTCGGACGTAGCCTACAAAAGCATGCAACAAGTAAGCTGTGAAAGCACAAAGGAACTCCGTGCAAGGCACGTTACCGAGTGCGATCCATTCACCACGTGAAGTTGTGAAGCGGGCAGCTCTGCGCAGAGCTGCAAGCCCAGGCCAGCGCGCTTCGGTAAGGAGCAAAACACGCGGAGCGCCTCTGCGCCAGAGTCGGAACGAACCTCTGGTGAAGTCAGACAGGAGGCGAGTAAGCCTCGGTTCAACATCTGTTCAACATCCCGGTACGTACGGAAGGGACCGGAGAGAACCAACCAGGTTAGCAGCCCATGACAAGAAAAATTGCCACGGTATTCGCAACAATATCCTGTGGCCAACTGCTGACATCGAGACTGGAAGGGGAGGCCGCAGCCTCTTCAAAGGACACAAAAGTTCCAAGTCCAACGGGCTGACATTTCCGACAGGAAGATCATCAGCTGGAGGTGGGAAGTTCACACATTCAAAGGTCAACCATGGGAGCTGCGTTTCCGCGTCGCGGAAGGTAGAAATTCCGGCTTCAGCAAGGACAGGATCAGGAACAAGCCAATCCGGCCAGGAGACTCGTAACAGCATTGCGGACACATGGGAATGCCATGCACTACAGTCGAGAGGCCACTCCTCATCTTCTTGCTGCGCATGCCCCTGCAGTAGCAGTGAGCCTCACGTGGAGTAAGCTGTGCGGTAGGCCTCGACAACCCCGTCGTAAGAGGTCAAGGACGCACGACCGTGGCAAAGACAATCTTCAAATTGTGCAAGCACACCAGCTGAAGGTTGATGCTCTCCACTGTGGGGTCGAGGGTCGGAGATGGTTGCACAGACGCTCAGTGCGGCTGTAATGGCGGAGGCAAACTGAGCACTGTTGGCCGGAAGCAAGGAAGCGTTCCTCCCTTACACGGCCATGGACCTTGAAGGCATGATGTGACCAGGCTCTCTTGCCGGGGAAGAGCTGGCCACATGTGGCACACAACTCTCTGGGATCACACCGACTTACAACAACGTCAAGCAAGGCATCGGCAGTACGCATGTCCCTGAAAAGCAACCCATGCTATTGCTGCACTTCAGCCTTCCGTGTTGCCTCAAAGCCGGCCACATTTTTCAGTTGCTTGACAATGGTCTTCCACGGCCCAGGCTTGGAACGAATGACACTGATTGCATTGTCCCGGACTGAAAGATCTGGACATGCAATGCCTGCCCGGATGCGTAGGGAGCCAGCCCAGGTGAGTGCCTCCTGCACATGAAGCAACCAGGTATGTTCAGCATGCAGTAGCGCCCAGATCTCCGAGCAGGCTTTTGTCACTACACTCTTGAGGTGCCGGAGTCTTTGGCGGATGGAGTCTTCTGCAGGCAGGATACGCGCGCAAACGAGTGCATACATGGTACTCACATGTTTTGCATCGCTGTATGAGCACCTGGGTCGCAGCAGCAGTCGGGCCATGCTTACCAGGGTGCTCTGGAAGCGCACAATGACTTTGTCTTCACAGGCCGGCCATGTTCCAACCAGAGGGCGGGTTCGACAAGGGCGGCGAAGAGCACAGCCTTATCCTTTGCAGAAACAATCGGGGAGGCTAGGACCTGCCTTTTATGTTTTCTGAAAGCAAGCCAAGCTGCTCCAACACGTGCTGTGAGCTCACGTGTACAACCACCACCTGCAGGTATGACCCCTCCAACGTGCTTGTAGGTGGATACGAGTCTGAGCCTGGCTTCTGGCCAAAGCTCGGAATGGAGTGGCAAGGTGGGTCGCTTCCTCGGAAGACCCAGGCACTGATTTTCTAGAGCCAACGTAGCGGAAACACACTCCTCGATGACCTCCATAGCAATGGCCTCAAGCTTAAAAATGAGGCCCACAGGCGACGGGTCCATGACAAGCAGTGCAAGATCGTCCATCCGAGTGACATCGATAGGGTGGGCAGTGGCCGTGTCTGGAGTGACACACACAGCATCTGGTCCGGCCAAAAGCCACTGAGGCTCTGAGGATCCCAGGGAAGTTCAGCAGACAAGCCTTTGCTCGCGAAGCGTTCTCTCAGATTGCTAAACAGTCAGCAAACAAGAAGGAGAAAATCATGCCGGCCTGAACCAAAGCAGTGCCTTCGTGGCGTCCATGCGCATGTGACTTCTGGTTCTGTTGTCCTTTCCATTGCTTGCCCATCTGAGACAGAAGAGCCAGCCTTTGAGAAAGGGGGTGTAGCGTGGTGGGTCAGGGGCCCAGATGTCGCTGGTACCCAGGATGTCTGCCAGACCGAAAGCCAGTCTGGTGCCGGCTCGTTGTCGTCGGAGACGATGCCAGCTCGGGGATCCTTTTCCACTATGGCGAGGGCCAAAAGTCTACGCACCTCAGTGGTGCCTGGGGCCTCAGCTATCACTCAGCTAGTGAGCGTCTTCTGAGCCCTTTGTGAATACATACATACATACATACATACATACATACACATGCATGCATGCATACGTATGTACGTACGTACATACGTACATACGTACGTGCATACTTGCATACGTACCACAGTTATACCTACATACCTACATACGTACCTACATTCCTACATGCAGACCTACATATGTACGTACGTAAGTACATGCATACATACGAACATACAGACATGTTTCCATCTGGCCCTCAAGCCCTATTTTTTGTCAAGCATACAAATCTTCAGAACCGTCAAGTCATCGAGCATGTTGTTAATTGTTTTTTACACGTACGTGTAAAAAACAATTAACAACATGCTTCGTTCTGGTCATTCCTAGGTCATAGGCTATAGCATGTGAAAGCCGTAGCAGCATCAACCGTTGGACACGATGAAGGCGTCCGTGTCAAAGCGTCAGGATGGCTAACATGTAAGCTGCAGCCTAAGTCCAGAGGCCCCGCAAAGTAAACTCCCTGCCAAGACCCCGGGCTCGGCGATGCTGCAATCGGTGACCGGCTGTCGCCCCTCCATGGCTGCGACCTGGAAGCGGGTTTGATCAGAGCTCATCGAAACTCGTGGCCTTTTCCATGGAAACCCGCGGAGATGATGCTATGCGATTTTGTCACAGATAGAAACGATGCAAGTGCAAGCCCAGCAAGCCCTGCACCTTCGCCTCCAGCGGATGCATCATGATGTCCATGAAGCGTTCACTCTGCTCCTGGCCCCGGAAGCTCGTATGTTGTACCAGTTCAAGCTGAGAGATACGGACACCTGCGGCTCTTGTGAAGTCACGCAGCGGCATTCCGACAATTTGCAAACTGCCGAGAGAGTGGGAGAGACGCCCTGATCCCAAATGTGCCTAATCCAGCGTGGTTCAAGTCAGCCATGGCCTACCCCGTCCCGCACAAACTAGGTCTCCTGCTTTACAACCAGCTCTCCACTCCAGAGAAGTCCTGGAGCCGCAGGACTTGTCGCATGAGCTTCTCCTCCAGAAGCTCCATGTCACGTCGCACCTAAATCTGTCTTATCGGTCTGCTTCTGAAGCATACAGGCTTCCGCACCAATCTATCCAAGAAGTCTGCACCAAGCTCCGTCCAAGCTTGGGAACAGGCTCCGTCGTCTCGCGTACGCCTGAGACGCAGACGATGTGCCCGTGCTCTTTCAATTTTGGACTTGCAGGTACGTGTGGCCGCAGATGCTTTTCTGCTTGACGCAGTTCTTCTCTTCAGGTCGCGAAGCAGCCGCACATCCAAAGCGCCTCCCATGCAGAATGAACCCGAATTCGATTCAACAGACATCTGCACCTGGCCGCTGTATGCGGCTTGCAGAGCTCAGCAAAGCTGAAAAAACGAGTGTGCCGAAGGCCTCCGACCATCAAGCGCCACGAAGCGTCCCCCAAAGGCCTAGCGGGTGCTTGGCGGAACCGGCCTCCTGGACCAAGTAGCTCCTTGGCAGTCAGAAACGCGCCGCCCTCAACTCTGAAACGACTCTGAAGCACCTCGGAGCCCCGCTGCCGCAGCGCAAGAAAGCAGCAGCTCACGACAGAGCCGTCGAACCCGAGATGCCCTGTAGACTTTGTGCGTATTTCCAACGATGGCCCTCCCGAAACACGTACAAGAGGATCAACGTCCGAGCTTCGCGACGGCGTTTGCCAAGGGCGTGCCCCGGCATTCCAGCAGCGTGGGGCCCGAGCCGGTCCTGAAATGTCGCTCGTGGCCTGCCTGCTCGCTCTCTCTCTCTCTCTCTCTCTCTCTCTCTCGTGTCCTACCCGGGCCTATGCTGCAGGTCCGTGATCCTGCGCTGATCATGACAAAGTACGACATGGTGGAGGCCGTTGTCCCCGAGGTGAGCGGTGCTAGACTTCTGCGATGCTGCACATTTTTCATGGCTCTGATCCTGGTCCAACAATATAAGTGAGCACTTACCCTGAATGCTGCCTGCCCAAGGTTCTTCGACTGAGAGGTGCTCTTGGCCAATTCTTGACACACCGATTCCCCGCTCGAAAGACCCACTGCAAGCATTCTGCCCAAGGCACGTCTCCGCCACGGACACTTTGGCGCCGCTGCGGCGACCTTCCGGAAGCGAAGTAAGATACAAGCCGTATGCCTGCCTGCTTGGCATCTTCTGGTGACTAAGTCGGTTGTGTCTGGCACTTCTCGCGTGAACCTCAGAAACCTGGATATTGAACACTACATGGCGGGACCCGGCCTATGCCAAGCCTGCTGCTCACCAGGAACTCAGCGGCTTTCCTGTCCGGGACGCACCTTGGCATTGCAACAAGAAATTGGAGCGTTTTCAGGCGACTCGTGGCCAAAATCAGCTGCCTAGGCTGGATTTGTTGAATACCCACGGAGGGTTCTACCGCTGTGCCGATTCAATCACGTGGAGTGCCACTAGACGCAGCCACAGCAGCAGAAGCCGCAGAAGTAGAAGCGGCACTGGCCGTGGCAGTGGAAGTAGCAGGAGCATCTGTGGCAGGCGGTGGAAGAAGCAGCAGCAGCATCTGTGGCAGTGGCAGTGGCAGTGGCAGGGGCAGGAGCAGTTGCAGTGCAGTGCAGAGCGCAGCGCAGTGCGGTGCAGCAGCAGCACCACCAAAGGCAGCAGGAGCAGGCATCGTGATATTCCGACTTAGTACGTTTTTGCATTTTTGCACCTAGATAATCACCTGCACACGCACAAATATAATAAATACATACATACATACATACATACAGATAGATAGATAGATAGATAGATAGATATAGATGTATATGCACACAGCCGCAATAGCATGAGAAGACGAGACCATATTCGGCAGGCTACACGAACAGCGCCACATCCTGCAGCTCGCGGGATAGGGCTCCCTGGGATTGAGGACGGCCGTGCAGACATCCGCCTGTCGATGACACCGGGGCATCCATAGAACTCGAGGCACCACAAGTGACTAAGTCCAGAAAGTGCGCTGCTTGCGGGGCCCTTGGAACTTCCGAGCCAGTGCAGTATGCGATTTCCAGCAGAGGAGCATGAGGACTTCCACGGAAGCTGCTTCGAAGTGGCAGCTGCTACTTAGAGCCTCCGTTTGTGGCCACAGGTGGAACCGCGGCAGCAGGTCGGAGACTGGCTTCCTGCAGAGGGTTGCAGCTCTTGGTCTGGAGAGTGGCCTGAGAGTCGGCACCAGTGAAGATGGTTTAGTGGAGCTTCTGATCTTTCTGTAAACTCTTTGCGGCGTACAGGGACGGCAAGCCATCCCTGATAAGTGTATCTCGACCTCTTGGAGAGTTGCTGGTGCAAAGGAGTTCAAATTCTAGTTTTCGGCTTCGGAGGTTTCCAACGGATCATGCGAAGCCAGCGTGGACTCAGAGCTGCCAAGAGAAGCTTCTGTTCCATGACCGTTCTGCGTCAGTGTCGCAGCCATGCCCCCAATATATGGGGACCAGTACTACTAACCTGCTTACTGTTCAGACCTCTTTTGTAGAGAGAAGCAACAGCCATCCTCGAGTGCCCGAGCCGGCGCAGCGCGGGAGTTTGCGAGGATCTCACCTTGAAGGGTTCGTGAACGTGAGCTTGGGCACTTCAGGCGTTGACGGGGGGCTTGTGGATTGCAGCCCTGACATGCGATCTGGATGCAGCACAGCACCATACAGTATCCGAGCAGCAAGCTAGTCACCAGCAACGGACTTCCGAGCTAGCACCACATGGAAGGGCACCGTGCCCTTGGTCAGATTCCAACCAAGGCACTTTGCCTCGCGTGCCGGTCTTCCACAGTCGACGGCGATGCGACTGGGCCTAAAAGACATGATAGCTCTGCCAAAGCAACTGGTGACGAAGTGCGCAAACCTCAATCCAGAGCTGAAAGTCGGGTTCGACGGCACTTTTGAGAGGGGTTCAAAAAAGCTGACTTAAAGCCAGTGCCAGCAGCTTAACGAGTCTTCTTGGAAGCGTTGAATTACGTTGCTTGCAGCTTCACCACAGGGTATGAGGAGGGCACACAAGACAAGCTATCCCAACTGTTGGCACAGCTTGCCCCACGGCCAAGACTCGAACGCGAATCTTCAGCTTCAATAGCGCCAAGCATATTCAGATTAACTTACATTATCAGCTATCCTTTCGCTACCTCCGTAGCTGGCCGCCTTGAGATCTGTGAGCCACTTGGCCACCACCCTGCGCGAGGCTGGACACGGCTCGCTGCCTTGGTGTTCGGCGAATCGACAGAGCACCCAGCATCACCCCGAGGGCGGGGTGTGAAGCCGCAATTGTGTGCACATTACAAACCATCACATCGTATGCAGCCATGCTGCAACACTTCACGCTCTTTGGCTTCGTTCTCCTTGGCCTCCACGTAGGATCAAGGATGGCTGAGGAATCCATCAAACGTAGGCTGCATCATGACTGCAGGAACTAGTATAACTGCTCCTCTCCATGAAATGTACATCGAAAGCCTGATTTATGGCCTTTTGGCAGGTTTGGGGTACTGTACGGGTTTGCATCAGTCAGTCCCATCGCTTATGCACGCACAACTCCAATCGACACGACATTGATTGCCCCGCCCACCATCCTGCAAGAAAGATACGAAAACGAAACAGCCTTAAGCTGCATCAGTACACTGAGCCAATGCTAACTTGCTACTTGTACCTGGTACAGCGGCTTCGCGGCTCGACAAGTTGCGGCCTGCTGGCCACGGAGCTCGCTTTCCCTCCGCAGCTCCTCCCTCTCTTCGTGCCGCCGGCGCAGCGCCTGCGCCTCCACACGCTAAAATTTAAAAGCACTCTCTTTCCTCTCCTCTCCTGGGGCCTGGCATCGGCAAAAAAGGCTTCGGAAAGGTTCTGGACGGAAGGACGCCTCTGCATCCTCACCAACTTTCGGCACAGCCGCGATCCCGTTTTCGTCCTCCTTCCAGGCAATCAAAATTAACACACGGTCGACCATGGGTGTTTTGACCGGGCCTGTATGCCAAGCACAGTAGAGCTCGCTCTGAGTCCCGAAACCAGTGAGGCAAATAGGTATCTCAATCTTCGAGCTTCTTACAAAACGCTTTTGAGGCTGTCCTGGTATTCGTGCTGCTGAGCTCGGGGACCTGTACCGTAGCCCCGCGTGCTGCGGGCACGGGCCTGGGCTCTACCGTCTGGGCAGTGCCCGCATGAGGGGTTGCATATGCAGACCCTACTCCCGCTACATCGCAACTTCATAGCATCAGTAACGGTTGTAGTAAGACTTGTCAACTCATGAACCTTGTCGGCTTGGTCCGAAACTGCCCGGAATGACCCACGTCGCCTGCCGGGCTTGCTCCTCGTACCGCTCGGCCTGACAAGAGTCCAGCCGAACAAAATGAATCTGAGCCATGGACTCACAAAGCCACATACCCAGCACGACCGCATCAGGCGCCTATTGAACAAACCTACCACATCCGTTCCTGAGATTCCAGAGCTCAGCGCTTCGAATCCTGGCCTCGCGAATGCAAGATTGATGCTGATCGGCTGATGTCGCCTCTCCACCAAACTGTCCACTAGACACAAACAAAACAAAGCCACTAACAGTTCTAGCCCATCACATGCTCGCGACGCTACACATCTGAGCTCGAGTGAGAATCATGAGCATGCGAGTAGAAGGCCTCCAGGTCAGAAATGCCGGAACAGTATGGACCATGCAAGGCCACTGTCGTCAGCACACGCAGACTCGACGAAATCATATTTGGTGTATCGCATGCGAGTATTTTGCACCACATTTTCGAACACTAGGAGCGTCGTTTGCTCCCAGTAGGCTTCTATTGCATACAGTTATGTTTAGAGCTATGTGTACATGTGTGTGTGTATATATATATATGTATGTATATGGATACGTATACATACATTCATTCATTCATTCATTCATACATACATACATACACATACATACACACACAACTACACAGACACACACACACACACACACAACTACACATATAACCGGCACACCTACAAGTATTTCTTGAGTAACTACTTACTGGCTTGCTTTCTCAACTACTCACTTACGCACTTATTCACTTACTTACCTACGTACCTACTTACTGCTTGCAGTAATTCCTTACTTGCTTGCTTGCTTGCCTGCTTGCCCACTTACTTACTTGCTTACTTACTTATTTGCTGACTTACCTACTGACCTTTGACTCAAGGCGCGTCCAAGGAGGCGTAAGCTCCGGACCAACACCGAGGGCTAGATCCGCAGGTCACAGACATCAAGCAACGAAACTCTGAGCCACTGCTCGAACTGCTGAGTCATACTCGTGTCCTCACCTCTGTGCCCTATGTTGGAACCGCAGTTTCGACAAGGAAACCCCTTGCTCTGGCCTCCATGGCCCGAAGCCGCATGTCACGGGCCTACCAGGCATTTTCTTGAATTGGGATTCAAGCATGGATGCACTTCATATCACCTGTGCTGTTTCCTCCGGTGTTCGCCGATATCATGACGGTCAAGTGTAGTGCAACTGCGTATCTGTGTTGCTGTGAGCCTTGTCCGCCAGCATCTTTGCTTCGCGAGCGGCATTTTGGCACTCCTGCATTGCTACAAGCAGGAAGGTGGGGAATGAAGCACTACCGTGAATGTGGGAAACTGGTATGTGTCTGGGTCTTCGAGTCGTTAAGCAGTGCAAGGTTTCAGATGCCTGGAGATCGCGGAAGTGAAGCTTGACTCACTTTGACCACCATGTCGGGTCGGGGTCGGGTGTTCCATTGCTTTGTCAGGTTTTCACCCTCAGGAATGGGACTGCAGGCCCCTGCGTCTCTCAACTTGTAGTCTGCTACACCGCATACCCAGACGTATCCCTGCAGAAGCTCAGAGACCAAGCAGAAGATCCCATACCGGGGTCGAGCGGCTTGCTGCTCCCGCGCCGTGGTCTCCTCGGCTGGGGACTCCGGAGCAGGATGAAGCGTGACTTTCGAAGCAAGAAGAGGAGCAGAGAGCGTAGCGAACAATTCGAGAACTTCGATCATCCGTCACGGATGGCAGAAGCGAGGTCTTGAACAACAGACGAACTGGAGGTTCTGGGTTGTCTTCACGGGTGGGATCCAATTCAGAATCAAGCCGGCCCAACAAGATACCGTCAGATGCCGATGGACAAGTTCTGACACAAGTGGGTGCAGCGGCAGGGGCTACTCCAACTAAGCAAGCATGTTTTCGCGGTCTCCTCACAAGTGCTGGGGATTCAAGAAATCTCAGGAATTCGTAAATTGTTGTGGCCAAGGAGCAAACGACGCGAAACCCTGTGTTGTGCAGCCCGACTCTTTCATGCCGAACAGAGGAACGAACGACCAGACCACGGTTGTGAGCCCCTTCTGCAGACTGCGAAGCAATGCAAGGCTCGAATTACCACTGAGGCTGGCACTCGAATCTGGCGTTTCCGCTCACGTTCCGCTTCAGCCTTTTACAAAGCTTTGAAGTGTGGAGTGGCTCGCAAAGTCACATCTTTCATCAAAACTTTGGCACGTGTTTGAATCTTGTATATGCTCTTGCGAGAGGATGTAAGTTGATTCGGTACATCAGGTGTTTCAGCAGGGCTGCACATCACAAGCCTTCTGCGACTAAAGTGTGACCAAAGAGACGACGGCCGCATGGGAACAAGGGAGGATCAGGTTTGTAATGCAGAAACATCCATGGAGCCAGTCAGTTCCACAGAGGGGCATGTAGGAGTGTAGGAGGTGCTCATCATTGCATCGCTGAAACAGACGCAAATACTGCAAAACCTCTACTGATCCCCTGGGCCTCCGCCTTCCGCAGCCCTCTGGCTCCCGCCTCAACTTCCCGCTGCTGCGCCTCGCGGCTCTTCCGGGCCTGGGCTGCGTGTCCAAAGAGGATAAAATGGCAAGGGCCCTTCTGGGGTACTTTCGGGTTCTATAATAAGGCCCGCTTTAAGGGTACTATAGGGTTCTTTTATAGGGCCCCCTTCTGGGGTACAGTCGTGCCATTTCCGCGACACCGCTCAAGCTAAAGCGAGGTTTGGCAGTGTTACGTCAATGAAAGCTGGAGTGAAACTAGCAAACCCCAAGCCCTGAACCCTGAACCCGAAACCCCTAAACCCTAAGTCCCCTGAGCACCAACACCCTAAGCCCTAAACCCCTGAACCTTGACTCCCCAACCCTCCTAAACCCGTACAGCCCTACAATCCCTAAAACAATTTTGTGGGAGCAAAGAGCCTCCTGCTCGATACCCTCCGACGCGGAGGGCAGCGTCGGCAGCCTCCCATGTCTTGTGGCTTAGGGACCTTGGGTTTGGGGACCTTACGACCGAAGGCTAAAAGGCCTGGGGTTTAAGGACTCTAAGCTAAAGTGTTGCCTCGTTTTGGGCCCCTTTGGGTTTACGGTCTTGGGGATGTGGGGGTTGGGGGTTGAAGGATTACTTGGGTTTGTCCCCTAATTGGGGTCCACGTGGACAGAAACGCAATCATTAGTCGGCGCTTGTCCTAAAGCATTCAGCAGCCGGGCATGGCTAGCGGCTCTTTGCATACTGGGGTCGTGTTGACGCAGCAAACCGAAAGTCCGGAGACGGTCCTAACACATGTCAGAGAGCTGCATGAATCAACCCAACGTCTCTAAGCTGCTGCCTGACTTCTTCTCGGAAACCCGAAACTGCAGGCAGCTTCCCTACAGCCGCCTTTCTAAGGGCACCGCCGCCTGCTGAGAGGCGGCCTGAGGGCAAAAAAAACATCGATAGTGACAGAAAAATTCAACGAGACTTCAGAGACGGAACAGCTTCAACTGGCAAGTTGGCGACAGAGCTGCTGACGCTTAGTGCAGGGATGGGGTGAGAGCTGCTTTGGCCGCTACACCTACGCAATACAACGAATGCAACACTATGCAGACTGTTGTAAACGAGTGGGTCCTGCCTTGCTGCTGTGCGTTTCATGCTGTTCTACTCAAGTCTGATGCAAAGCAAAAACTAGAGGCAGCGAGAAAGAGCTTAGAAAGAGTTTGCATATGATACCAGCTAAGTGTGAAGATGGCGCCTGACATGATTAGCTCGTGCGGATGTCCAAGTTCGGAAACCCTTCAGGCTTGAGAGCTAGAACTTCCGTCATGTCATCGATGCAAGGACTACTGGTAGCAACTAGCTAGTATCTAGCAGCCGATGTATCGACCCACATCAAGTCAAGAAAATTATCCACCGGTGCCTGCACACCATCGGGGGTGCGCTTGGCTCGGAAGGCCTCTGCAGCTATCGGAGACCAACAGCAAATCGCCCATCAAGTCGCCGAATCTGGAAAGCATTATCGACATGTCCTTATGCATCTCTCCCTGCACAGAATCGCCACCCTCCTCCCCTCCTCTCTCAGTGGCTGAATAACACGGCGTCCTGCATATGACCCGGTCCATTCTCTGAAGTCTTATCAGCCACTGGCTTGCTTCAAGGTTTGTGCCAAAGCACCGCATTCAGGTGTAAGAGGAGCATTTGAGCAAACTCGCAGGCTGGGTGCAACTGAAGCCGTTCGCAGAAACCGACAAATCGCACATTTGTGCGCCTCGGACTCAGACGAACCCCAAGCCATCCCCAAGCACCTCCATGGCGCCTGCCCAGGCAGAATCCTGGCAGCAGTTTAAAGTACTTCGTGCGCCCTGGCAGTGCAGAGGCTCATGCCGCATAATGCAAGGGCCAAACCTTACCGGCTCTCCTCCTTCAGACTTTGCATGCACCAGGCTGAGTCTAAATACTTACTCAAGATGCAGGATTGATCATGCAGTGGTACCGTGTGGGCATGCTCAAGGTCGTCGGCTGGTGCTGTACAGGCGTCTAGCCAGATTCTAGCCCATCTCACGGGGAACATATTCTGTGCATCGAAACCAAAACAGTGCTCGGGTGCTAGGCCTGGAGGTCGAAATCGCGATCCACCAGCAGGGCCGCTTGACTCATGCGAATCTGGAGCTCCTGCGGAAACGTGCGAGCCTCTCAAATTACTGCCTGAATCTGAAAAACCGACTGCATCATCTCCTGAAGTCTCCACGCGACAATCTGCAAGTCGTGGGTCTCCTGGAAAAAGGAGGTGCAAGCTGCTCCGAGTGCGCAGTGCGCTGATTCGGTGAAGCCCGGCACAGAATACAGCCATGTCCTCGGCACGAAGGAGCACCTTTCGATGCTTCTGCAAGCCTTCCATCACCTGCGCGCTTATATTCACTCTCTGCACATGGTCTTACAAATCCTCCTCCAGCGCCACCTCTCAACACACCGTCACTTTCGGGCTAGGCTTTTTGCACCTCGAACAGGCTCTTCTGGGCAGGCGGTTTTTGTTTAATCTGGCTGCTTAGACCTGCTTTGGGGGGGGGGGGGGGGG